AATAAATTTAATAAATAATTATTTGAAAAGAAAAAAAATTATTTAAACAAAATTTAAAAATGCATACAAACTAATTGAGTCCATTCTCTCTCACACACAGCTATTTAAAACTATTTTTTAAAAAATCCTGCAGCTAACCCTGTAGTTTAAATTTGAGGCCCTGCAGTTTATAAATCACATTGGGTGCCTCCACATGCATGCCCAGAATCCTGAGGAGAATGGGGATGGCTATCCTCTCCAGGGAGTGGTTTCTCATTTTACCTCAGTGTGTCTCTTAAGTAAGCATATATGCCATATAGCAAAAACTTAAAAAAATTAAAATATCTTAATTAATAGTAAAAACAACACCATTTGTGAGCTGTTTAGAAATATCACATTGTGGGTACAGATGGTGGACAGTAGTAAAACACAATACTCCATGAATGGGACTTACCTGGCAATATTTCTGGGGCTTATGGCTAGAGACATATTCGGGTATGCTGAGCATATGTGTGCTGTGGTTAAAAGCTGGCTGAGTGTGAGAATTAATCATGATACCAAGACTCTCCTGAGGGTGCTATCTGTCTCTCTCATGGAAGAAAAAAATCTTTTTGTAATTAAAATGGAATCCTCTAAAAAATAAAAATATTTATATAATCAAATCAAAATATTTAAATACTTAAATAGTTAAGACCTCATGCCTCTATGGCCACATGCCTCTATGGCCAGCTGGTAATGGATGTGAGTGGCACCACCTTTGCACTCAGTAAGGCAAAGATGGTGGGCCAGAACAGCACCACCATCTGGGGTGTGCCAGGCCCTGTTCATCTGGTACTACATTTACTTTGATTGCAAGCAAAGGAGTGACCTCAACTTCTAGACCAGGCTGAAACAATAAAAAAAGAAACAGAAGTTGACCAAGGAGAGACCTGAGCTAGCCAAGTTACCTGACCTTAAAAATGCTGAAGCAATTCAGAGTTTTCCTGAAGAAATTCAGCGTGCTAAAGAGTTGCTAGCCCCAGATGAGTAAGAGAAGGTAGTAAACTGTCTGACCAATGCCACTGCTGTGTGTGGGCACCCACAACAGTTGCCTCAGGTACTGTAGCAGACGCCACCTCCCATGTTCCAGATGCTGCTGACCAAGCTCCCAAAAACCAACT